GGATTACAGGACTGTGATTTTAAAATGTTTATAGACTTGTTAGTTGGGTATTGTTTTAGGAGAAAATTGAATTTTTGTTTCAATAGTTATTCCTTAGGAAATTAATATTCTTGGGCATCTGAGCTCCTTCTATAAATTAAACTGACATAAACCCCTTCCATGGTAGTGGTAATGATTTAGGACATCTGTTAACCTTGTTGAGTGCACACATTTTGAAATAGTTATCAATCCCCCCATTCTCCACCAGTTCATTGGCCAGGATCATTAATCTGTGTAAAGGCTTTTTAATAGTTCTACCAGGAGCTATATTATTAGGAATGAAGATACAACATTTCCCACTCATCATGACATAAACAGCTCCTTTTTCTGTTAGTATCATATCACATATTTGTGCATATCACAAAACAGGCAATTCTATTTTCCCAGCCCATCTGACTGGTGGCATCTAGCTACCTGGCTACTCCTTGTAGGGCATCTCCAGTGTAGTTGATGAATCTTTGTTTATTATAATATATGTGTGTGTGTGTGTGTGTGTGTGTGTGTGTGTGTGTTTAAGCCACTGTACATTTTTATTAATTGTGGGCCACCAGAAGAGTGCTGACTCGTACCCTGCAGCTATTTGATTCCACTCCTTGAATTCACTGGGAACTCTTTGAAGGACTCCAGTTGAATCAATATAGACATCTGAGTCAAATGAAGCAGGTACTGTTACTCCTATGACTGGGATCCTTTTTGGGCTGCCTGTGGAGTCCTAAGGTGAATGGGATAGCCAGGTAGACTAAAGCACAAGTTCCTGTCCAATCAGATTGGAGTCTAACAAGAAGGTTCCATTTCCCACAAAATCACCAGACATCAGCCCAGGGTACATGGAGAGCAGAGTGATTGCCACTATCTGGTTCTCCAGTGACATTCAAGATGTTGGTGCAGGTCTTGAGCTCTCCTATGGGGTTTTGAAATTCTTCCCTTTGCCTAGAAAGGCAAGAGGAGTGATTCACATTCCCTATAGTGGAGGCCTGCTCTCAGGTTGGACCTTTGCAGTGCAGAGAAGACCAATGGCAAGTTCTAAAGATCTTGTTTCCTCATTCATCTCTGTCCTGGTACAGAGCCAATATGCAGCACAATCCTTGAAGGTGCATATCTCTACTGAAGGGAAAGGGAAAAAACTGTGACTGTGGATGACTACCCATTTGACCCAAGCATTTGCATCTCTATATCCAGGGTCTGTCTCTAAAGTTTGTCTTATATCTTTAACTTCTACTGTTTTTATTCTTTAAGGGTCATTTTGAGGCATCTCTTCTGGACTTGAGGTGGGAATCTCTTTGGTTGTGTTGGCTACAATTTGGAGGGTTAGGTATCTTGTTGGGTTCTCCCCAGAAACATCTGCCCCTAGACCATAGACTCTGTGTGCTACCTAAGGGTTCTGATGCAATGAAGCTGGATTATTAATAGGAATATTAGATTACATTGTAAGTTCTGACAATTGGAGGGGACAAAGTCTTTATATAAGTGTAACTTTTTTTTTTTTTTTTGGTACCAGGCATTGAACTCGGGTCCTTGCACTTGCATAGCAGGCATCGAGACCACTGAGCTAAATCCCTGGCCCTATATAAGTGTAACTTTTTGTTTTTTTTTTTTTTTTTTTTTTTTTGGTACCAGGCATTGAACTCGGGTCCTTGCACTTGCATAGCAGGCATCGAGACCACTGAGCTAAATCCCTGGCTATAAGTGTAACTTTTAAAAACCATTTTACTCCTAATCATTTTATATCAGCTGTCTACCCCTGGTATTGAGTGGTTCATCATACATCATTTCAAGTGGGCAAGGAGGTATCTGTGCACCTCCCCATCCTAACACTGGGCAGAAGTATCTATCAGTTTGTGAGCTTTGTCTCTGGCTTAACAAATTCTCACAGGACAGAGCCTGACAGGAATCAAATTTAATAGTTTGAGGTTCTGAGGTTCTAGTTATATTTATTACCAGCTTAACTGGATAGTAATTCATTTTCTAGGATTTTGATATCATTTTATCATTAACTTCCAGTCTTTTCCCTGGTTGTAGAGTATTAAACTGCTCAGCCAAACCAGGTATAAAAGGAATGCATCCTTCATTATTGAAGCTTTTTGATTCTTTAAAATTTTAGTCTCCCAGGATCCTCAGGTGGTTCATACATATCCCATTGGCTTTGTTCTACCCCTTCCCAAGTTTCCCCTATTAGCTTCATAGCTCAAGTATAGTGAGTCCACCCTTTTTCTTCTGTTCCTATTGCTGTCTCAGTTCAGGAGCACTTGATTAGGCCTTTCTCAATTCAGATGGAACTAGTCCTCTTTGGATCTTTATGAGCACCAGATCACTGAGTTGAAACTGATGAACTGTGAGCTCCAGAGGTGGGGCCTGGGCTGGAGACTTTAGAACCTGAGGGAGGATAAAGTGGGGCATATGGTCAGGACATACTTTCTTAGAAATTGGTCTTTGATTTCCAAAGTATGGAGATCTGTAGCTCTACCCAAATATGAAAGCCCATATAGCAATTTATAGGGGGATAGCCTTATATCACTCCTTGTGTATTTTTGGAGAGAGATAAAGGGAAAAAGAAAAGAAAACAAGAAAAAGAAAAGATATGATCCTGTTTAGGTCCTGTGTGAGCTGCCTGCCTTATCTTAGGTCACATTGCTTGTACAACCCAGCCCAGGCCCACAGCCTGCCTCTCTTTTTGTCACGACTTGCCTATGTGTCTTCACCAGTCATATAGAGATCTGTTGTTTCTATCCAGAACAAGTGTCCTTGTTCCTAGCACATAGATATTTTAATCTTTATTAGCAGATGAGGAAGGCAGGAAAAAGGAGTTGTACACAACAGCTGGACTTTCACCCAAAAATTTACCCTAAAGATTTTTATGTCTAGGGATCTGTGACCTATATAAAGAACTCATGGAAGGTTTAAAAAGTCAGGAAATGTCGCTTAGCAACCATAAGTTATATACTTTTTAAACACAATCATAAAGCAATTATAAAAATTCTTACCACCACAAACAATTTTAGTTAGAAAGTCACCAACATAAAGTTTTTTCAGCTTTGCACGTTTGAAGGCCTGGGTGCTTGAGAAACATAAATACATTTAATATACTATGAGGTTAGCAATAATTAGTGTTACCAATAGTTTAACAATGGAGAACATGAGAAACTAAGTACCATATAGAACCTTTGAAGGTTGAGGGGGAGCAGAAGGAGAAATAAGTAGAATAAAGATATGCCATAAACCTAAAACCTCAATGAATGTAAAATTATATGCCATACACATGAGCTAAGATTAATAATATTAAGAAGAATGAAAATGGGGAAAGAAGAATTAAAGGAGGAGGGAAGGAGGGGCAGAGGATTAAAAAAAAGAAGCAAGTTGTATTATGTACATGTACCCACTCCCCAAGATGATTATAAAATGCATGTACTGCAAATGTATTAATAAATAAAAAAGAACCTTTGGTTCTTTAATTTTGTAAGTTAAACCAAAGCATCTCAATATCTTAAGAAAACCTAATTTTTCACATAGAGAATTTAACCTTTTGATTATAGCCAACATAAATATATTACAATAACATATTTAATAATGTTTGTTGGGGGTGTGCCACCATAAGGCTCTGGAAAAATTTCCCACGTCCTATCAGTGGACAAAAACTGTTTGTCTGTTTGTTTGTTTTTATCCATTGAGGAGAGTCTTGTCCAGCAGTTTCTCCAAGCCAAGCCCAATTATTTTAGATAAGAGAACCAATCATAATAGTAAATATTTTAAAGGGCTGTACATATTATCTTTTGACCAACGGAAAAACCCTTAAGTTATTGTGTGTAGATGACAGGTGGCAAACATTTTCAAGCTATCAAGACTGAAAAAGGAAATTAAAGAAAAAAAAATCTTTTTTTTTTTCTCCACTGAGCTAAATCCCTGGCTCCAAAAATCTATTCTTAATACATAAAGTGGTATATTTATAGTAAAACATAGTGTTTTAGGCAAATAACACTGCAGCTGGTCTTTCAGTAATTCAGCTGATCAGTCAGATTAGTTGAATAATAAAGAGAATATTAGAGATTTAGTAGCTCTTCTAAATACAACATCAAAGTAAATATTTCTTCTCTGTAGGGTAAAATAAAACCTCTACCTTAAAATACAAATAATTCTTCATATAAATGAAACTCTAGGATCAAGGGACAGAATATGTTGTTGGTGGTTGGTGATATATTTAAACAATATAATGTCAGAGGCTCACAGAATAAAGTAAAATAGTCATGTCTTTTACTGTAATAACATTTTAATTTTAAAAAGGTAAAAAATATAGAGACCAAGTTGTCTTAATATTATAAAGTAGGAGTGGGACAGGGTGGTGAAAAGAGATTGACAATGATGAAGATCCTAGGAGCCCTTTACAGAGAGTGTTGTCCATTCTCTAGGCTGGAATCTGCCTCAGATAGGATTGAGTTTTCCTCATAACACAGCAGAGGAGTCACCAATAGATCCAGGACTCAGATCCTTAACTTTCAGGTATACAGCCCATGCATTCTTTCCAGTGTGAAGGCAGATCTCTGATAACAGAGCTGTTCAAGACCTTCTCAGTCTGTGCTGTTTCAGCACATGTGAAGTCAGGGTGTTGGGAATGTGTGTGGATTGTTGGTATGCTCACCAGTGCTGTGGACACACATGCAGGGGCCAGGATGGTGACCAGTGTGAGTAATAATACCTGGCCTCAGTTTCCCATTTCTCAAGATAATCCTTTTGATGATATTTATTCCCAGTGCTGATCCTGCCTGCTGTCTGAGAGGATGAGATGCTGTTTCTTTCTTGGAAACTGGTTTTGGCTTTATTTCTAAGTTCTTATTTTTGCCTCCTTTCGTAGATGTGAATTTTAAAATGTAAAACTACACAGTCCCACATCGAGCCCATCATCTTTTCCACTCCTCTTCAAGAAACAGATTTGTGAAGCTTACTCTGCCTTTTTTCTCTTTCCTTCTCAGCTTTGGACATGAGACTGACAACGGTGGCTCAGAAGGTTCCTATGGAAGAACTGTCCTGTGTATGGAAATGGAAGGATTGGTGAGGGATGACCCTTGCTTGCTGGTTCTGGGTGACAACTGGGAGTGTGAGAACCAGAAGAGACATCTGAGGCAATCTACTTTACCACAGGAGAAACCAGGAGCTCAGGAAGCAGTCTCTGAATATCTTGGCTTTGGGAAGCATTTGAGTGCAAGGTTGGGCCTTCCACCATCACAGAGAGTTCCTACAACAAATGATTTCCATGATGCAGATGCCAAAATGTTGGACTGTGACCAAGCCTTACACAATTGTTCCAAAAAGTATGTAGGCAAGAGAACTGGTGACAGTGATGCCTGTGGAAAAGCCTTCCACCACTCCTCAGAAGTTACTCAGCTTGGAAGACATCAAATGAGAGACGAGCCCTATAAATACCCTGAAAATGTTAAAGCCATCAACCATTTTACCCATGTTGATGATCAAAAAATAATGAAAAGAGGAAAGAAACTGTATGAAGGCAATGACTTTGGGCACATCTTTTCCCTGAGGTCATCTCTAAGTGAAAACAGGAGGCATCACCCCACTGAGAAACCATATAAATGTACTGAATGTGGCAAATGCTTCAAACGCAATTCTTCTCTGGTTTTGCATCACCGAACTCACACTGGAGAGAAACCTTATACCTGTAATGAGTGTGGAAAATCCTTTTCTAAGAACTACAACCTGATTGTGCATCAAAGGATCCATACAGGAGAGAAGCCGTATAAATGCAGTAAGTGTGGAAAAGCCTTTAGTGATGGGTCAGCTCTGACCCAACACCAGAGGATTCACACAGGTGAGAAGCCTTATGAATGTCTAGAATGTGGAAAAACCTTTAACCGAAATTCATCTTTGATTTTACATCAAAGAACTCATACAGGAGAAAAACCATATAGATGCAATGAGTGTGGGAAACCCTTCACTGACATCTCTCACCTTACTGTGCATCTCAGAATCCACACAGGTGAGAAGCCCTATGAGTGCAGCAAGTGTGGAAAGGCTTTCCGAGATGGCTCGTACCTCACCCAGCATGAGAGGACTCACACTGGAGAGAAGCCCTTTGAATGTGTAGAGTGTGGGAAATCCTTCAACCGCAATTCCCACCTTATTGTGCATCAAAAAATCCATTCTGGGGAGAAACCCTATGAGTGTAAAGAGTGTGGGAAGACGTTTATTGAGAGTGCATACCTCATCAGACACCAGAGGATTCATACTGGTGAGAAGCCCTACGGCTGTAACCAGTGTCAGAAGCTTTTCAGAAACATCGCTGGCCTTATCCGGCACCAGAGGACTCATACTGGTGAGAAGCCCTATGAGTGTAATCAGTGTGGTAAAGCTTTCCGGGATAGCTCCTGTCTGACCAAGCACCAGAGGATTCACACCAAGGAATCTCCATACCAGTGTCTGCAATGTGGGAAGTCCTTCAAGCAGAACTCTCATCTGGCAGTTCATCAGAGACTGCATAACAGGGAGGGCCCCTACCAGTGTCCTCAGTGTGAGAAGTCATTCAGGAGGAGTTCATCCCTTGTCCGACATCAGAGAACACACCCTGAAGAGCAGCCTTTGGAAACATAATGCTGATAACCACACTGTTTTCCTAGCTTTTTCAAAAACCTGCACAAAGGTGGTATGGTTTCAGATGTGACTCCTGGTCCTTAAGCTACATGGAGAATTGGTCATTGTGAGACATTCTGTAGCCCAGTTAAGTACATTATTGGAGAACTCCTGGAGAAAACATTGGATGATGATAAATGTGAAAAAAGCTTCAAGAATTATTAAAGCCATCCCCATACATGATAGTGCATACACAGGAATAAAACATGGGAATGTGAAGGCACTTTCATTGAGATGTCTACTCATCTTTACTTCAACATGCTAGAAAGAACTCATGAATGTACTCAGTGATCAGTAGGAAGAATCCTTTAAAAGGGAGTGTCCACCTGCTGTCCAGAAGCAAATGCTTCTTATGGGCTGGAGATTTAGCTCCGTGGCACTGTGACTGCCTCGAAAGCGCAAGGTCCTGAGTTTAATTCCCAGTACTGAAAAACATCAACAATGACAACAACCCCCCCACACCAAGAACAAACAAAAAAGAATCAGACTTTGTAAGTGTAATCAGGAAGAGAAGTTGCTTTTAACCAGTCTGTCTTTCCTGTATCAGCAAGGACATCCTGGTGAGCAGCCCCACATACCTGTCACCCTACAGCAACCACAGAATTAGAGCTGGAGTTCACTTTGTATTTCTGTGTTACAGTCCTTCTAGGACTCATGGAGAAAGGGGAAACTGGACAGAACAGTTGCTTCTAAAGGAGGAGTGATACCATCTTTTCTAAGATTAAAATTGCCTCTAGAATTGAAAAGGGTACTTTCAAGAAATATGATCTGTTGCTTTAGTTGTTGAAACTATAATGAGTTGTTATGTTTACCTTATTTCCCTAGCCTCACATTTGTTCTTCATCGAGGGCTTCTAATTTACTTCTAATTTATATCACTCAGCCGCTCTGATCCATAATTTCAAAGGTTTTGTTGCCATGTTGAAAGTGCTTATAATATGGCAAAAGAAGGCATAAGATAGGAGATTTACAGTCTTTACAATACTGTAAAGGTATGTGCACATATGGGTATAGATTAGAAATAGGTGATGGAGAAATAAAGAAGTCAGGGGACTAGAATTGTGTATGTTTTTTTCCTTGAATACAAATCATACATTGTTGGTATAATAACTTGATAATGGGTAAAAGCATGAAGCCTGAAGAGATGGATTTGGGGCTTCTTTGGATCTTCTCTTCTTTGGATCTGGGGGTGAAATCAGGGCTGTAGGGCCTTGTAAGTATCAAGGCAGAAGTGTCCCTATGGTCAGATAGCCCAGGGCACCAGAATCATTTCCTTTACTGGGACTTGGACTCTAAGGATTTTGTCATTGTGGAGGAGAGGGTAGGTCTCAGAGAATGGGAACTGGAGTTTTCAGAGAAATCTGGGACAGCTGTAGAATAGCCCTTCTGAAGTCCACAAAGCTACGGGAGTTGATGCGGCTTCCAAGCCCTGTGAATGGATTCTCTGGGGATTTTGACTGCCCACCCACTCCCAAATTCTATTCCCTGGCTTTTATGGTAGGCGAGTCAGAGTGAAGGCCACCCTGAGCTAACGAAGGCTGAGTTACATGAATTAGAAACCAAAAAAGTAAAATGCATGGCACAGTGTATCTGCCTATACACTTGGGAGACTGAGGCAGGAGTATTGCAAATTTAAGCCCAGCCCAAGCAATTTAGTGACTTAATGTTGTGCCAAAGCAGAGCAGCTCAGTGCTATCGCCTAGTGTTATGGCTCAGTGTCACAGCTAAGTGGCACTGCTCAGAGGCAGGGCTGAGTGTTGCAGCTCAGAGTTGCAGCCAAGTGCTATAGCTTGGAAGGCTCACAGCTGAGCCTTACAGCTCAGTTTGTCAGCTCTGGAACACAGCTCTTGTAATTTGAAGACTCAAGAATTAGATGGTCAGTAGAAGAGGTGGAGAAAAAAAACCTTTATTACACTGAGAGGTGAGCTCAGAGGAGTCAGTGCTCTACCAGAAATGAGAGCCTCCTTATATAGGGATCTACAGGGTAGGCGAGTATGCTTAATGAAGCAGGGGGGTAGAGTCACAGAATATTCATGAAACATGTCGTGTGATCATGCTCACTGAAGCAGGTGGGTAGAGATACAGAACATTCCTGAAACACATGCCTTGTGAGCATGCTCACTGAAGCAGGGGGCGGAGTTACAGAACATTTCTGAGAGGGGGCAGGCTTAACAGAACCTTCCTGAAAGGTCAGTTCAGACAGTCACCATTTTGATACGTTGGGCAGGAGCCCAGCAACACCAACTTACATTTCCAAAACGAAACATTCTGTGGAAAAAAAAAAAAAGCAAGGCAAGGGCCTGTCTTATTGTATAGCACTTCTCTTATCATTTGTAGTCCCTGTATAAAAATTTTAAAAAGACTGGGAATATAGCTCAGTACAAAGGCTCTGGGTTCAATCAGCACAAAAAATTAAAAATAAACCACGGCAGGCATCTCTGTATGCTTGCCCTTTCATGACAACCCTCAGATGAGCCACAAAGGAGGGATGAGGGTGGCCTTGGTAAAGATTGCTTCATTGGTACATATAGATTTGTTTCTTTCTGCAGTCAGTGTTTCCCTCAGATTCTCCAAGAATGGGTAAGAAATCTAAGCCTTAGGTTTGTTCTGAGCTGCTGTCTCCAGACAGAGTGTCCTTGAGGATGTGTCAGCCTGACTAATGCCTTTTAGTGCTTTGATGTGGACTATTCCTGGCAGTGGTGACTGAAGGGAGGAAGAAATGCCCCATGAGCCTTCTCACAGTGTCAGGTCCATTCCTCTTCCTGTGCACCCCTTAGATGCCTCAACACACGACTGTCCCTGTTCTCTGGTTCTTCTGCATACTTGGCCTCATGCCTGATATCCTCCACCATCTCTACTAAACCATCTTGTCCTAGATCTTCTCACCAACCTCTCTGCTACCCCAGTGTCTTCTCAACTGTCCTGTCCCTAGATCTTCCCATCAGGCATTTCTTGTTTTGGTCCAGAGGACGGGTAGAGCTTTGGATTGGGTCTTAGCTGGTTTAAGAGATTTGAATACCACTATGGATTTTCTGAACATTAGTCATGCTGCTGTAGCTCTCTAGACAAAGCATCCTCATACCAGAGTGTGAAGATTTAGTGACAGTTATGGGACTGAGATGAGCAACATCTGGGTTCTGTGACTCCTGTGTCCTGGTGTCTCCCCAGTGCTGGGATTCTGAGGTCTTGACCCACTGGGGCCAACTAGAGAGGGGATTCTGAAAGCCACTCTCTTCTAAGTATGTCCTCTTGTAGGTCTAGTCTTAGCTGTTTCCTGTGTGGTATACACTTTGGAACAATAGAAGACAAGTGTAAGCACTGTGACCTGGTCCTGGTCAATGAGGCTGTGACCCAGAGGGTGGTGGGTGCCAGCACTGGTAATGAGAACCAGGGACAGAGAGGAAGAGGTGGGTAATGGAGGCAACAGGAAAGCATTTGGAGAGACCACTGTGCTTTTGGATGTGGTCTGAGGTGGAGGCTGGTGACCTCCACCAGTGGGTTGGGTGGTGGTAGTGCTGTATTCCAGGGACTCTGGCTGCAGGACAGTGTGATTCTGATACATGAGGGGATCCAACTGACTTGTGTCCTCCAGAGACTTGTGTGTGTGAGTATAGCCTACTACTGAAGAGCATAACTCCTTCATTCAACTTTGATCAGGCTCCTCTGAGCCCTCTGCTTGATAAGATCTCACTTTGAGCTACCCTCTTTGTTCTTGTAGGAGCCACTTTAAGCAAGGGTCCTGCTGAGTCTATGTAGCAAAAGCCCCCACCCCCAGTGTTCAAGCACCCTTGGTATCTGCTTGTGAAGAAGGAAACTGTGAGGACCTCAAACAGACCACTCAACATGAAGATAGGGGCAAAAAGTGGCTTTTAATACTGGCAGCTCAGTGAGTGACTCCAGTCAGTCTCAAGAGCCCTAAATAGAAGTTTGCACTTCTTTATATACCTATTTTTACATCTACAAAGCTTAATTCCATTGGCGTTTCCCTGGGAATATAACAAGCAGGATTTACACAAAGCGGAGCAGCAGAGAGGGGTAGAGCAGAGTTCTGGCAGGACTTTCTGAATGCATTACATTCCTTTGGTGGCAGATTACAGAAGTGCCATGGTTATTCAGGTACATTCTACAAAGAGCATAGTTACCAGCATAGTTGCCTGATAACACGGTTAACTCATAGTTGCCTGATAGCACAGTTAACCCATAGTTGCCCAATTCTGTATTCCTCTCTCAATTGAATCCTCATCCCCTACCTTTGCTATCTTAGCTCCCTAGCCTGCCTCAAGAAGAATTCTGTTGAGTTGATCCATAATTTCTTATGTATTGACTCCCATTGTGCTGCTTGGTTATTTTATTGACTGGGAATTGAACTAAGGGGCTTTGCACTGCGCTATATTCCCAACCTTTTATTTATTTTATTTTTAAGTTTTGAGCCAAAGTCTTGCAAAGTAGCAAAGACTAGGCTTGAACTTGTGACCTCCTGCCTCAGTCACCCAGAGAGCTGGGATTATGGGCATGTGCCGTCATGCCCGGCTACACTTCCCTTCCTTGTTTCTTTAGACCTATAAATTTCCTTACTCTGAACCATTTGTTCCCTTGTCCAAAAAGTTAATAATCCTAACAAGAAAGAGGGAGTAAGGGAGAAAAGGAAGGATAGAGGGAAGTACAGAAAGGGAAGAGAGGAAGGAAGGAGAAAGAAAAACCTCTTGGTCTTGGTCTATTTTGTGAATAGACATGGTCCACTCAGCATGGTGTTGTCTGGGCATTCACACAGTCCTGAATTCCAGAACTATTCAATTAAATCTTATTAATGAGCAGCCATTCATGAAAAATACCAGAAAAAGTAAGGCAGAGATGCTCATCACCTGGACTACCTCTGTCCCTTGGTTGGCCAAGGAGATGTTCCCTTTTAGCAACAAGTCCAGAGCCTAAGAATGTGTGGAACTTTACATGGGGGTGGTGGGACAGTGTGAACTGTGGTCATCATGCTCCTACTTCCTGCTGATCCAAACCTTTCTTTGGATTCATTGAGGCCTAACATCTCAAAGGGAAGGAGGGAGGGGGGGGGAGTTTTGTAATGCAGATAAGTGAGTGACCTGTGAGTCTTATAGGAGACATGAGGAAAGATGATGGGGTGAAGGGTAAATTTATCTTAGTCTCATCTTGGAATAAATACATAAGAGCAAACTGATCCCAGGTAAGGCAGGAGAATCACAAATTCAAGTCCCACCTCAATGTCTTGAAATAAAAAATTTAAAAAGGGCTGTACTGCAAAGAAAGAGAGGACAGTTTGAGAATGGCTTTTCAGGAAAAGTTACCTAATACTCGACAGCAAGACAAAGAGATGAGCTGGGCTAGGTGGTGCTCTCTGTCTCTTTCTAATATACCCAACAAATTTTTAATTATGTACTGAAAATAAATTACAGGAAACAACATTAAAATGCAACAGAGAATGAGTCCTAATAAACATTCCCATGGAATGCCCTTGGGGAGGTGAGACTGCAGTGCTCAAGGAAGAGAAATAGCACAAATATATCCAAAGCTTCAAATTGTGCACTCACATACTGACATGAGCCACAAACACTCCTTTCACAGGAGCTGTACTTATTAGCCCACCACAGAACCAGATTTTGCCATAAACTGCAAAACTTTTAATACAAAATTGTGTTTATGTATTCATAATTCATATGCATGCCCTAGCTGTGATTTTAGAAAATAAAAGCTACACACTGTACAGACACTTAACTCATAGCTGTAGGCAACAGTTTTGGATGGAATTTCTCCCCAGTAAAATTAATGGCATATTTTATGTACATGAAGGCTAACCTGCAAAAAGACAGTTCAGATTTTCCCAGATACGCATCTCCTTTTAGGGCAGGTTAATAAATTTTAAAAGGCAAGACAAATGTACACCTCAGAATTACTTTCTCAGCTATGAGAGTTGTCATGTAATTTTTGTGAAGTTTCTGACACATGGATTTATGTAATACTGGTATTGAAGGCAGTAAAGCAATCTATATTTTTAATGTAGTGACTCAATAAAGGCTTCATTGTCATTC